GTCTGCCCGTGTCTCCTAACCTGGCCACGTTGTAAATGCGCTGGACCAACACGGGGGGGGGGGTCATATCGGATTCTGACAGGCGTTATCGGATTGCACACCATAACAAATGCCAACATTTCGGGGTGCGGTGGCAGACCCGGTTGCCTGCAGACGTCGCGCGTATTGGGACCCCTGCCGCACCCATATGGTTGCTGTTGATTAAAAGCCTGGTCATTTGCTGTCTGGACCAGGGGGTGCGGAGGGGAACGCCAAGGCGTGGACTCGACCGGGCCATCCACCCGCATCCTCCCCGCCTCCGGTCTTCTCGACTCTCCGTTTTAAGAGGACCGGGTTACCTCGCCAGTTGGCAGTCTTCTACGGCACCATGTCTAACGCATCAGGATAGCTTTGAAGCGCGTCAAATTGTTTATCGTGAGAAATGCGCTGAGGTCCCATGGGGACGATAATCCCATAGTCGACCTTCCTCTCTCTTTCATCCCCCAGTCACCAGTCCATTGTTCTAACTGGTTAGCCATCTGATGCAGAAATTGGGCGCTGGTGGCTGATAAAGTTAAACAGCTCATTAACGCGGGCCACGCACGGCTTGTCCCGCACTACGCCACATTTTCAGGTGAAGGAGTGGGCGGCAATATTCTTGGTGGATTGCGACTGTAAGTTTCGTGGACGAATAAAACAGTTCATATTAGTTACAAAATATACCAAGAGTCTCTGAGGATGACACCATTTGTTAGTGTGGAGTCAGCAATGCGCTTTTCCGATATTGTTTTGCTTTTAGGCAGTTTGGTACGGCTGTTTAACCTGGGTGGTCTGGACGACTGGATTTTAACCTTCTGTCAGAATACATCGCTCCGTTTCTTTGACAGATACCGTGGAATACTCTAAAAGTGTTAAAACGCGATGATTGGGAGAGACCGAATAAAATTAACGTTTCCCGACAAACCTAGCCAAATGCGTTTTTTGTCTGTTCGAGGAGCGTGTGTAAAGTGGTTACCTGAGTGCTAAGTGCTACATTTTCCTCTTTGTAATCATTGCAGGGAACCAACGCAAATAATATCATGATACAACTGTAAAATAATAACCGAGGAATAAGCACAGTGCCAATTTCCAACATCGTGATGAAATCCCTACGATTGGCGAATCGAATGCGGGCGAACAAGAGTGGACACCTGATCTTAAGAGGCACAGCGTATTGCACTCTGTGTGCGTTAGCTACCTCTATCTCTTGCTGTCTGTAATGCTATGTTCATGAGTGATTTCGAAACACTAGGCGACTAAATGTCTTTCATCAGCGATGGAGCCGTCTTCTTTTCAACTGCTTCATTTTCGCATGAGTCGGCAATAAATACAATGGAATCCCTGTGTCATCTACTCGCATTACTCTACCGAAGCCGAGATAAGAGCACTACATGCGACAACACGGAAGTCCAGTTTGGTGTTATACGTTTTTACTATCTAATCTATTCATCGGCCGTCATTTCTCGATTTGCACTGTCTGAAATCAGCTCACAATGATCCGTTCAGGAAAGCGAGTAAATTGTCGTTGAACGCTCTCTTGCCTTCAAATTTGCTTCGACTATGAAGTTATCAATCGCCGTCCAGTTAGTGCAAGCTCTTAACATGTACAGGAAACTTTTAAACGGAAAAGGCAACTTTCATGACCGGTCATTTTACGCAAAAAGCTAGTCCAAACATTAATTCCTGTGATTGTTACCGCTTTGCGACAAGGTTTTAGTACTTCAAAGCTAAGTTTGCTAAGCAAATGGTCAATTTTGGCTTGGGCAATGCCCGGTGACAATTGATCTGAAGCCTCATTCAGTGTAGTAACTTTCAAACAAGATTTAATAGACGCACAATGTGTGTGTAACAAATGGTCGCATTTTTGCTTCTAAAGGAATCTGCTGCTTTTCGATGTTCGAGATTATTCTACTCTCCGGGGATCCCGATAAGAGGGGTGGTAGGCTTGGTGCTAAATGCCACAGCAGATTTGGGGCACACAAATGTGGTTCTCAGTATTTTTTCTGCTCAGAAGGACCAAAATCACCCTCTTCTGTTTCCCAGCTTGTTCTTTGGTCACGGCTTGTTAGAAAATGACAGTTGACGTCAGGGTTATCTGCCGCTCAACGTAAACATTAATTTGCCTGACCTTACCAAAAGCGTACCAATAGATTAATTTCGATCTGTTATTCATTCAAGTATGTCGTCTTGGTCAACTGCCTCTGTTTTTCATGTTATAGGTGACTTTTATGACCTAACACGAACGCCTGAGGACCTCAACGGAACTGACGCCAGTAATGTCATCCGTTTGCTTAAGCGCCAAGCAAGCGAGGCTAAAGCACAAGTTACTGTCCTGTCAGCGGAGAACAAGGAACTTCTGGAACAGTTAAAGGAACTCACAACTGACTTCGACCATTCTGTTGCCTTTCTTGAGGTGAGGAAAAAAGCGAAGTTGTTCTAGAACTCGGTAGTTGTGCCCCACCTAGAATATTACTTTTTGCGCTGGATCAGTAGGGGCTAATATTTGCTCGTGGCATGTGTTGGTGAAGCCGTGGTAAGTCTGCGTGTGCTCTTAACTATTGCCGTATGTGCGTGCGGACCAAGTAGAGAGAGGCCGTTCACATCACGTCAGACATTGCGCCCTACCTTTTTACCAATTGGCAGGAAAGTTCAGACATTCCACTGGTGCATAAGAGTGAGAGGGATTCATCTTATCGTGCGCCTTATTCAAAAAAATGTTGCAAACGACGACATCATAGTAGAGCAATCAGAGGTAGTTAAGGACCGGTCACTGATTGAATAACAGAAAGCGGGGTTGCAAGTTGAATTTAGTACACCATTTTGCCCCTCCTACATAAAGGTGATTCGGCGTGAAACGAGTAAGAAAGATTACGCTGTAGGCAGCACCAGGACATTGGAAAGAGATAGTCAATCCATGAGGGTTCTCAGTGGAAACTCAGGGAGGGAAATGACGCATCACGTAAGCGCCAGAAATATAAGTAGTTCTGAGGACCATGTCCGGGAGTGGGTAGTTATACAAGCCAAAATGTCATCTATTTTAGTGAGTGGTATGGTTTGTCTGATGTCATTCGCCCACCGCGACCCTTGAGGGCACATTTGCGCCGCTTTCTTTCAGCATAATGCTTTTGCAGCTGGGGCTTGATTGACACGTTACCCTGCACACATATATGTACTTATGCGTAGTATTGTGATGGAGAGGGCTGCAATTAACCTTGCCGTTCTATACTTGACTTTATTGACGTAGATATTGATCTTATTAAGGTTTTCTAAAATGTATATTCTCCATATGTTTATTAAGTGTTATTGTGTTTAATTCTCGTCGATAGCAAATTCGCCCATTTAAAAAGTACGTAAAATTTTCTCCCCATGTAACAACTTTTAGTATGCCTACAGCAGTTGTAATGATATCAAGAAGGGAGTTTTATTTGGTACCATTTTTCACTTCGGTAATGAATGCTGGCCAACTGTGCCGCTAGATATGCCCACATGAACTTGTAAAGTTGATTTTCATAAGTTTAATCGGCTCACTTCAAGGGCTTCCTGTTCATTATAAATACTAAAATCAGATTATTATCAAAACGGCAGTCTGGATGACAAACTGTGCACTTTGCTAAAGAACCATCAGTCTTCCGTGAATGTAGAAATAACTGGTTCTGACAGCGCCTTGCCCCTATGTCCAATGACGCCTAAATGCATCACGTAATCCCTCTGTTCATCTAAGCGTATGCGTGTGCGAGCGTATTAGCGCCAATTCTCAGATAAACTTGAAAATGAGTAATAATTCACTCACGTAGTGTATATTAATCAGTCGCATTTAGGTGATTAATAGTCCCTTGATATCTAAGAGCAATCTTTTGACCTATAGCAAATAGTTTCATGATGAAACCCGTTAATTTTTTTTCAACAGTGCTCCCAACGATTGTCCTGCAAACGTGACCATTTTCCTTATCGAGCCGAATTAGGCCAAAAAGCTGTTTAAAGGCGACGTCCACTAAAATAATCGACAGAGATGTTTGTCAGGACTCAGGTGGGCCTAGTGAAACCTCTGAAAGTGGGGGATGAGTCATCGCGGCCGGCACTGTAGATTGGGATGGTCTCAATGAGAGGTGTACAGTCATCGTTTAACCTGAATGGGGCGTCGCCCCCATCCGTCTTCATCCGTTGTTTTGCACAAAAGCAAGCCATTTCCTCTCAGAATGGGCGTACACGCTGGCTCGGAATTAAGTAATAACAAGGGACTACACGACGCGAACGCGCCCCTCCGTGCTCTGACTCTCGAGACTCAATGGGCAGGTATGGGCTGGTGGGTATCCAAATATGCTTCAGTAATAAGATATCCTATAGAGCGTGCCCCGAAAATCCCTAAAACCCTCCACAAACTCTCGAGTTTGTTTATTTGCGCATCCTATTCTCTTGCTGTAAGGCGTCCGGCAACCAGCTTCGCGTCGCGAATTTCCGGCCCTTCTCACAGCGAAGCAACTTGAATTACAGGTTTCCAGGCATAACTAACTTGGTTAAGGTGCATATTTAAAGAGTCTGCTTTGAAGCGGGACCAGTCGCCGCAATGAAAATGTGGCGTTTTCCGTGGTTTTCTTACACCACCAATGAATGAGATATAAAAGAGTCTCGGTACATTCGGCACGATTGTAAGTGAGGTAAAGCAGTTTAGTCGAAATCATGGAGGGGCAACTGAGATAACAATGGCCTTACCAAGGTCTTACGTTTCCATTCCGTGAAGGGAGATTATTTTATAAAAAAATAAGCAGACGAAGCTTCAAACTGCTTGCCTAGTGCCATAATTGATGCTTCCCGACGACTGTAACCTACTTGTCTGCACCTTTGATTTTGAATATCTGGCCGGTTGCTTCTACGTGTTAACATCCATAACCAAGCGCAATCCGAGGAGCCAGGTCATTTGCTCTTCTATTTTAATGTATGCGTATCCGTAGTTCTCTTTGCTCATAACGTAAAAGAACGAAAGGTTGAATATTCCCCTTAGTTCCTTTAAATGAACTGTTTCTATCACAGGAATATGAACACCGAAACACTTACCTCGAAAAGGAAAATCGTACTCTGCTTTTACAAATGCGTTCCCTCCTTTCGCAAAACCAAAACGTTCTGATGGATGCCCTCGAGAAAAATGAGTTCCACTACAGAGAGAAGCTGGCACTTCAGTGAGTATGAACGCGATTTGTCTCTAGTTTATTTGTGAATGACTATCCCAGCTTTAGGCCGGACAAAGCCCTCTATCAGAGGAACTTCAAAATCCAGTGTGCCCTGTTTCGTGTTTAGTTAAGAGCCTCACACTAACTGTATTTTATCAGAAGGTAGCAGGCGTTTGTCGGTCTGAAGTATATGGAATTCTTCGCAGCCGATGTCAAGTAAAAAATACTTGGTGTTTGAAGTAAGGTTCAAGAATATTTTACAATTTAACCCGATGAGCGTTATTCTACTCGTTTCATTTGAGCAATTCTGTGCTAAATCAGATCCAACGATTATGCAGGACTCTGCCCACGAGCGTCCTTTGAGACCGTTACAACATGTCGCCTATTACTTACTTATATCCATATCCTTTTTAAAATGTTTCAGTGATGAATTATCAATGCTGAAGAGGCATAAGGAACGTCTGGAAGAAAAAATCTTCGAGCAATATAAGACGTTGCCTTCCCTTAAAAAGTGAGCAAGTGTAATATGACTTATTTGTCTAAAGCCTATGCCATAGAACGATTTGTTGCTCTGTACTGTTTTCTGCACGCACTTTAAGCATGTAATAACCATATACGGAGTAGAGACGAAGACAAAGAAGATAGGGATGGCTATTTCTGGCTTCGATCAGTCGTACCCAACCCCAGGTTTGGAGAACCTGGGGTTCTAACCGGGGTTTTTTGATCGTTAAGCCTTAAGGCATCCCACGCTCTACCATTAAACCGCGGGTCCGTTGTTTTGTCGGTCGTTATCAGAATAATAACTATGCTAGAAGAGCGCCCACCGATCAGATTATGGCAATACTCACCCAGCTGTGTCTTGAGACTCGATCCCAACAACCGACTAGCGACGAGTAGTAAGTGCAGATAGTGGGGCGCCGACGAGGAAATGAGAAACTAGTATGGATTGCCTGCACGGCCAATAAGCCAAATATGACCATCCTGTTCCCCGCGTCTTTTTCTGCATTCCTTAGTCTGCACATGCCACCGGCCACTATGCGACTAACTGCAAAGGCCCTAGATTGAGCCCCAAAGCACAAGGCGAGCATATACGACAACCCGATCGATGTGTACGCCCCTTGATCATAGATAACTGCCATGCTAGGGCATTTTCAGTTACTTGTATTTCCTTTACTATAGCTTACTGTTCTGACTTTCTGCCTGAAATTCGTACGTCTTCAGTTACCCACGGGATGTTTGTAATGTTTCTAGTGGTTGGTTTGATATTTGATGATATCTACTGCAAAAGTGCCATTGGATGCCTGCCGAGGTTTTTGTATGTTGATTTCAGGGGCCGCAATAATTTAAACTTGATGCAGAAAGCCCGAGCGACTTTCCAGAAAGTAAGTATTCCTCTGCTTCCCTGCTTCAACGATTCCTGTCGTAGATAGTTTATTAGTTATATGGATCTTATTTTTAAACCATAATGCTTGCGCTGACCATGAATTCAAGACGCGACTTATGACTGGGTTTCAGCGGAAAGACGCTTACATAAACGGAGACATTCTCAAGGACTCGATGGATGAAAAGATCACCGTTTCCTGTAAGTCAACTGTTTTATATACCCATTAAAACTTCGGGCGTATAATTAACCTCGCACAATTACACAGTGACCGTTTTTGAAAAAAAATCAAGTGAATCTGTTAGTTTCCCATTCAGACATTTTAATGGACCTTTGAATGATGACTATGTGTCAAAAGGTAAATTGTAGTTGACTAACGGCTTTTAATCCCTACATATAGCTGGAATTAAGAACTATGTTAGAAGCTTGGAGCCCGGATCTATTTCAGTCTTTGATCGTGATCCAGAAGAGCAGAATCAAAATGATTTTCGGCGCTTCTTACGCGGCCTTAACAGATCTCAGGTGTCCGATGGCGTGGTAAGTACGCAGCCTATGTTTCTGCACCAGTTTGTTTTATTTGTGTGTATACTGTAAACCAATTGGTTTCAAAAAGCTAAGCTTACTCAGATTCTTTATGAGCCAAAATAGGTGCAGCCCTGCAAGGCAGGATTTATTGGTAACAAAAAATGCACGACTGCTCATCAGATGCGTCCTGTCGCTTCATAACATAAATAACGCGGGAGAAGAATACAATAGTTTGAGTTTGTGCAGAAAATCAGCGTGCAACAGCAATGTTATGGCTTAGGACAATGTAGGCTAGTTAATAAAATTAGTAACCTGAACAAACCGGGGGAAGGATAGTGGGAAAACGTCAACGACTGAAAAGGAGGCGAAATGTGAAAATCAAGGAGCTAGAGGTTACCATGGCAAAGTTTGTCCGACCACATATTCCGGCTGCTTACATTGATCTGGTTTCACATGCCGTACACAGGCCGCCTCCAAATAGCGCAATGTCCGAGTTGATCGTGCCCGAACAAGTACTTGGAAGGATGTTTTAGAGTCAACGGAGTGACCACTATCAAGCAGGCGTTTAGTAATGGAGGAACGCGAGATTTTGTTTCCTTACTTTAGAAGCCATCTGGGAAGATGCTCAATAGACCGAGCAGCCAACTGCCAGTGCGTTCGGCTAATGTACTTGCATGCGTAAATGCATGTAAATTCATAAAAACGATTTGAAGTTGCATGCATTGGCAGGACATCCTTCGCCCGTGGACTTGGAAAAGGCTTAGTAAGACGGTATAATATGGCATTCGGCCGCATTGTATGTCCTTTCAATGGGGCAACGCAGTCATCGTTTGATAGTACTTAAAATATTGTTAACTTCGTACCGGAAAGAAAATGCTTCAAAATTATTACGCCACAGTGCCTGATTTTGAAACAAATAGAACGGTTCTCTGCCTAAATGTGGTTAACTTCCACCTCATTTTTTTATAAAACACCAAGTGGCGCCTTGGATGCAAGGAGTCTTAATAAAATAACTGCATTGGCCGCTTAGGTACTTTTTAGTTAGACCAGGCGGATAAGTTTTTCTGTATAAAATCTCATGCACTATAACAGTTATCCACAGCGTTAGCCCACTCACTGTGCTGCAATTTACGCTCTCAAGAGCACACGCGTGGGCAGTACTACTTTTCTAATGAGAAAACTCAACACTGTGATAGTGAAGGTCAGGAAAATGAACTAAAGCTAAACCTCGGGAAAACTGTGCTCCACTTCCGACAGTGGATGGAAGCTCTGGTTGTTAACTGATTTACTGTTTTTCGCCTTGAACTCCGCGGGCTCTCGTTATATTGTCACGGATATCAGTTCTAGGGCCTTGCTTCTAGTCTTTCGACATTAAAATAACCTGCCTACTGAAACATAAAAAGTAGACTTTAAGGGGTGGGTGTCAGTTATCCATTTCCTTAATGTGGTGTAACTGATACGGCTGCGTGTCGACGCAGAACGCTCGTCCGTGTGTGCGTGCCTTAGTTTAATTCAGTTTATTTGGGGGAAATGCCGGTTTTGAACCTGCGAACTTCCTGTTTGTTACAAGGAAGCGAATTATATCAAAAATTTTAAACCGGTCAGATTGACGAACTGTCCCAAGTGTAAAAAACACTAACATTACTGCATGTGCTGCACAATGGTCAGTCTATGCATAATTATGCCGTAGAATATTGGTACGATCTCAGTTTCTGAGGGAGACTAATTGAATGAAAACATTCACAGTCAATGAACTTGGGATAATAATCAAATAAAACGTTACTGAAATACAGACAATAAAATTAGAACGACAATGAACGGTTCGAACGAGACGCTAAGACGATATCAGTCAGGTGATATTATGATGTTTGGTGATATACTGGTCCAACTTGCTCTTAAAAGGTCGACAGATGTGGACATGACGATATCTATAGGCGGAGCATTCCAAGCCTCGGCCATTCTGTTAGAAAAGAAGAACTTTCGCATGTCCAGCCTGGCGTCAGTCATACATAGTCTAAGTGGATGACCTCGGAGGTTCGTTGTGGTTGCTAACTCAAAAAAGTCAGCAATTCTGACCGCGCATTATGCGGAATATTTGTATCAGGTCGTCTCTTTGCTGCCTGTAACTCAGAGGGAAATGGCCGAGATTGGATAACTGTGTTTGGTAGGATACTGAACCCTGCCCATTAACGAGTTTGGTTGCCCGCCATCGAACTGTCACAAGAATGCTGAGGTTTTTGGAGGTCCAGGGTTTCCACACTTGAATAGCGAACTCTGACTGTGGCCGTACAAACGTCCGAAAGACCTTATCCAAGCAGTCCTCATCGAAAGTAGAGAAAACTCGCTTGACCGCAGAAGTGTCTGCTTATTAAAACTGTCCGCCGTTTAAAACTGTCTAGTAATGTTAGCGTTTCATATTCGGCGCCTTAGCTTGAAGAAAGGCACATTGTGTTCGGATCCCTCGACGCGCCTTTCGTTCGAATGATAGGGCATCTATAGTAGAACTTCTTTGAATTCTAAATACTGCCTCGATACTAAAGGGTGTATACTCTGCGCTACGGAATCTTGGCAGGCTTGACTTACGCAGATATCAGGATAGTCTAAAATAAGGTGAACTTAATTTCTTGATTTGTCTTGTCCGAAGGTAGCGACTTTATCGCTAAATCTATGCGCTCGCTCCCTCACTTTTTTAACGTTCCATAAGGGGCGATTTTAGGAAAACACTCAAGGATTGCCGGGTTGCAGAACTGCTGGACGCGAAACTTTTCCACACTTTTCCATCAGAATAGGGAGCGTAGGTAAATGTTAATATCCGATTTGGGAATCGCAGGTTTTTATGATCACCATTTTTACTATCACTTTAACTCATACCTACTGGCCCCTTTTTCTCGTCAAACCAACTATCAACGCAATACCACGATATATTTGTTGTTCCTACATACAGTCGTTTGGTATCTGAGCTCTTCGTTGGGCACAATTAGACATGCGTGATTGCGACATGTCCTTTTGGATGCTTTAAAAATGGATTTCCATAGGTTTTGCGGTGAATTCTAACTTATTTTCCAAATAAAATCAAATAGTTTTCATATTCTACGAGGACGGCTTTCGTCATACGCACGAGTACATTTTCTTCTGAAGCTTCGTCAAGTGTACTCAACTGTAGCCAAGTAAATAAGAGGAGCCAATAATCGAAAAACGTTATGGATGAGGGTAGTGGAAATCGGAGGGGCCATGTTTGTCATTCGAAGCCTAACTTCACCGAGTATTCGCGTCGAACGCCTTGTCACTGAAATAACGTGCCCGCGTCCTGCAGGTAAGATCGCCCCTGATTGCAGGTGACTTTGCGTAGCCGGTGATTTGAGTAGTATAGCTTAAAAAATACTTTATCACCAACTGTCAGAATATGCGTTTCAGACAATTGGCCCGAGTTCTGGGCATGACTCGTTGATGACGGCGACTATGCTACAGTTCGCAACTCAAATCTTCCCTATTTTTTCGATAATCCTTCCGCATCTGTGACATGATTTGTTGTTAACAGGTTTAAAAGACTTGCTATGTATCAGTCAACGGCGGATAATCTCATAGCGATTCTTTAATCCAAAAAGATGATCCGCTGATTTCTAAAAAAAACCACAATGTTTATCTTGCGGCCACCAAAAACTGCAGACGTATGTGCCAATCGTCACCGAACAATACTAGCATAAAGGGACAATTTTAGAAAGCTTCGTCTCAGTAGGAACATCAAAAACGCATTATGCAAAAATTCTGAAAACACGAGCTCAAGAATGAAAGTATACATGTAGAAAAGTTAACGGTAGATTCCAAAACCATAGTAAATGTATGTCGTTGTCAGTGTTAAGCACGTAGCCCTATGTTGCCTGTTTCATTCGCGAGTGTCGGTACTGCTCAATGATAAAATGATGGTTAGGCAGCGATGTAAGCTGGTCACATTTGTTATCCGTCCTTTCCATAAAGATCTGCCAAGTTAGTGTTACTTCGACATGTTATCCCAAAAACGCAACTTGAAATGCTAGCATCTTAAATGCGATTTTTCCGTCAAATGTTTCGGATGTGAACTAATCTGAAAAGAGAACGTCATCTGGAAATTATGCAGAATGAAAGAGGTTCTCTGATACGCAATGTTCAGTGGATAAATTCTTCTACCATTTATGGACAGTCATCCTTAAGTCCGCAGAAAAGTGAGTATTTAAGGGAACACCAGGGCCACAAGGCGATTGACGAAGTAAAGATTTAAAATTCTGAGGTTTATCTTATTATTCCTGGTGTGCAATTTATGCATTTGGAAAGCACTTTTCCAAATACGCCACATATAATTAATAACAGAAAATGTACAGTTTTGACATGTTTTAACGTTTAATTGCTCTGACATATGGCTTTTTGGAAACGACTGGATACATGCAAGTTCTAGGCTCACTGTTTTTGAAAAACATTTTTGTTTGTATGTCGTAAAGGATGGGTGATTATTAGCTTTAGTGAATACCATTATGTTTATTCTTAAACGATCAATTTTTGCTGCTCAACAACTGAACATAAGATGTTGGCATCTAACTATGTTTCTTATATGTCTTTTGGATTATGTATATCCGGTTTCCTTTCAAGGTAAGTGAAAAGGTCACCAAACTGACCGAAACCAACCAGCCTCGGAAGCTGCGAGCTCAGTCTCTTTCCACAAGTCCACTCCATGATCGATATCACACGCTGCCAGGAAAACGAGAGCAGTCGAGTCCTGAATTAAGAAGAGACAGTAAGCCAAGAGTTATGCAGCAAAATATGGAAAGGAAGATCACCGATTGTCGTATTCATGTCAGACCAAATTCAAGCGACGGCTCCTCAAGCTCCACTCTGGGTACGTTATGTATTTTTCGCAGGCGCATCAGCGACGAGCTTTTCATTGACTTACTAAGTCAATGGAAAAACGCATTCCTGAACGCCTTCGTGAATATATCTTTCAGAAACAGGAATTAACGCATACTTAATGACTTTACTGGGACAGTTGGTTTTCGTGGCAATTACAGCCTTATGCACGTATGGTTAATGTCGCAATGGAGGTTGCCTTGTCGTATGAGATATTCGATTTGTCGTCCATTTTAGCATATATAAGGATGCTTTTCTCTGAAACGAAACTTTCTATATAATTCAACTACTCTTAGCTTCCCACGGAAAATATTATTCAAAAACTATTGGAGCAGTAATTTAGACGCATAAATTTGTTGTCGCTACTATTTCTGGCGATGGACGTCTGCGCGAGTTCGAATGCTCAGGACAGCAAATAAATTATTCCCGTGCTCTATCAGTCATATTCTTTGTTTAGAATTACAGCTGAAAATCGAACTTTCACCTCAATTCGTCTGAATTTTTCGGACCCCCTCCGCCAAACTTATAGTTTACCCTATTTAGATGGCTCTCGAATATCTTCGCTGGTTTCATTCGATCAATCTGTTCATCTGCCGGTCACCGACCGAGGTGAAGAAGATCGTAAGACACAATCTGAAATTCTTTTGTTTTTTGCATTATTTTGCACGTTTTCTCCTTGTATGTGAAATATATAAGGTAGTTTTACAAATCTGTGAGTTTTCTTATTGAATCTACAAATCTTGATGTGGTATTTTCTATTTCTTCGTTATTTGTAATTGACCTTATGAACTATGTGTTTTTGGGTTTTGGCTGAGGGTTTGTGGATAGCCCTGCAACTTTTTCTTTGCGATAGAAGTAAGTTCTTTCTTAGATGTCCGCGCAAAGCTTCTTCTAAACAAGGGACCATTTTCAATTTTTCTTAAGGCAAAAGCTGGCGCTTTGAAAATGCACACCGACTACCGGTGACTGTTTACCAGTGAAAAGGTTTATTATGCAAATTTCCATGGTTGGTATGTCACCATTTTAGACTGTAGGGTATGAGAACTGTGTACCGTCAATGACTGATATCACGAAATCTAAATCGAAATTCTGAAGTGTATTTTCGATTAGAAAGGACTACTTAGATGGAATTGTAATAATGATTGTCGTATAGCATAATCTCAGGATATTTCAGTCACAACAGGCCGCTGGCTTTCTAATGCTTTTCTTCCCTGTCGCTTTCTAAAGCCACACACAGTAAAGATTACTACTTAATATGCATTTTCCTCTAATGATTTTCGATGCGTCTATAAATTCAACTATACCTCATAGAATGTATATATAAACACATTCCTCTTTGTACCCACTTGGTGGCAAATTTTTTTTTCAATCTTCAAGATGGGGTATCTTTCCACTTTAATAGCTTTCCACTTGTAAGATTTATAGCACCGTGCAATGTTCATCCAGATAGTGTCGCATCCGTCTACTTTTTTGGTGCTCCTCACGAAGCAGACAACACAGTCCACCTTTATTGCCAAGTTTTACGAGTCCCATATGATGCCTTCTTAATGGCGTAGACGAATGTTTTTCCTTAAACGGAAAACAGGCAGCATGTAGACTATTGATCCTAAACGCAAATTCAATCGCAAATAGTACTTTTAATCATGCGGAGGTTGGAAAGCTTTTTTAGACTTAAAACACACCCATTGGAGTATATGGTTTGAATAAGGAATTAATTCCTACCAAATATATGCATTCAAGTTTATGCGGGAATATAAAATCGATGGAAAAAATGTATACCACTTAAATAGTCATTATTACCGGGTGTGCTTTCTGCAGGCGGCCCAAAGAAGGTGCATTCAAAGGCAGGCATTCTGCGATGCCCGAAATATCTTGGGTTTTTCTGTAGGATAAGCAATACTACAACTCCGCTCTTGTAATCTTCTATAAATTTGCTTAAATTTTTAATTAGAAGTTCCATACGAGGAGCTTCCTAACCTTGCAAGACGCTTCGAACATCCTTCTATTCACCACTGTTATTGCATATACTAATGACAGAAATGATATCATGTAGCTAGGCCACACGTCAGTCTTCTAATTTCAGAAATTCTTAACGCTTTGAACATTTGCTCTCGTTATGTGTGTGTTGAGTTTTTGCGGCCACTACATGATCATTGAATTATACCCGTTTTCGAAAAAACGGTAATTTGAAGTTTTTGTAACACCAAAGAAGGTAAGATTTAAGCCGTCAAAATTCCGGGTGGCAGCAAATAATGAGCCTGCGGCACAGTGACCTTTGTTATAAATGTCAGGTTGGTAGTGTTTGAGATCTATATCATGTTGAGTCAATTAGACAAAAAAAATCAGGAGTAGTCTGGCATATTTCCCATGGAATATGAAGGAGCACGTGGTGTCATTTATAACTTGGTAAACACAAGGAAGAGTTGCCAAGGGAAGTCAGGCATCTTAAAAAGACATTTCTCAATGGCAATGGTTGTGTAGGCAGATGAATGGTGTCAACAGCTTTGACACTCTTATTTTGCGCTTGATCCTGCTTCCGGTCTTCTTGACTCTGCCTTGACACCGGGCCCAGGTGGGTAAGGAGGAGGGAGTGCGATAAATGCAGCGCAAGTCTATTGGCACTGTAAGTTAGTTCACCGACAAGGCATCGTCCTTATACCGACCATGCTGTGGAGCACACGATGGACATTGTTGGAAACGACGATGGAACTCCCAGCACTCATTTGAATTTACTGTTCTTTAGACAAGGGCGCCCGATCAGCCAGCACTCGAGTCTCAAGTAATCTGCCCTCAGTCATTGGACGACTAATTTCGCCTTCATCTCAGGATGACTGTATCTTCTTCCCGCGGTCCCGAACAGGCAGCCAACAGACGAGTCCGCCTGGACACACTGACCTTTTGGGCCATAGTCCTTCCATTGACATCAGACCGGTCAAGGATGTACCGGCTCCAAACTCGCGTACATCCCGGTGCGAATTCTTGGAACCATATGTACTAAAATTTCTACTTTTCAGAGAAACGCTGAAATTCGAATCTATCGGCTAAGATTCATAATGCTTCTCTGTGAATCTTGTCATCGCATTCCAGCCTATTTTAATGTCTATCGATTGTTAAGGAGCATCACAAGGTTGTCCTAGTCTCCGCATTTTGACCTACAGACTTTCGTGCATTACAGAGCCACCCGTAGTTTCGTCCTTGCGTGTCGTGAAGTCAGAAGAACAAAACAGTCTAACGTATAGCAAATGAAGTGTATTTTTGACGAAATATTTGTCTGGGCTTTAAGTTCGGACCATGCACTTTATTCCATGTGAAAAAGACGATATGCTTTTTTGACTTACTGGCGTGATCCAATGGTCTATATAGAAGAGGTGCTGCTTTAGCTCAGAAAATGAAGAAAATGCGTTTCAACATAGTCAGAAGCTATTATCTCGGGTAGCTATTTGTATATGTGGCGTGCATTTCACTTCAGACCAGCATGATTCATCTTTCTGTCAGTTAATGACTTACCTGCACAAAAAGCCCTTAGCAGGTAACCTGCCTTAAGCTTACCTGACAACTTTCTTGAGGTCTGAGTCAAGAGTATGAAGCCTCGGTAACCTCCAAACCGAGTCCAATATATGGAAAAAAGACAAGTCGTGGAAGTTCCCCAGTCTCACTAAAGCATATGTTGTCAGACCAAGCGCAAAGCCACTACTGCCCACTAGCGGTTATGTCGTCGTTCAGTTTTTGAGCAGCATCGTTCTCCGTATAAAATTTATTAGGCAAATTTACACCCTTCCAGATGTGAGCATGAGATTTCATGCGTACTGCACAACAAGAAGAACAGCTTAAACAAGATTATTATGATATTTTATTTGGAAAATGCCTTAATTTAGTTCTTTCTACGGAATCAGCCTCATCTCTTCCTGCATGGTTAGCAAAGGGCAATTGCAATACAATTTCAAAGAGAGCGTACTGTCAACCGCTCTGTTACATAAACGAACTTATCCAGCAGGAGTATTTTCTTGAAGTGTTCCGTAGTGTAAAGTGAAGAGCCAAGTATTTTCTTGGCACTTGCCCTATCCGTTTAATTATGCCAATTTGCAAAGTTAGAAGACAGCGCGTGCATATTTGCCATTGAAGATGTTATCGACAGGGAAAATAACAGTCGGACCTCCACTTCTGGCTTTTTAGCCGTCAATAACTGTTAATTCCTCAAACCCAGACTGCGCAACCGGTGTTTGAGTTGGAGTCATTTGGTCCCCGAAAAACGGCCTCATGCTTGCATTATTAAATAACGTCAAGTTGACTGGGTCTGGGACTATTCAGCGACATAGGTGCGGTGCCCACTGACGATTACGGATTGCAGGGAGGAACCCTCACTTCTGCTCGGCTTTGAATGTGAGGAATTACAAATTACTCCGGTGGTTGCATGACAACTAGCGGTAAATAATCGATATGTTTTGGTGTCCTTGCGGTCAGAGTAGATGGACGTGGGCTAATCCCGATTTGGCTCAGTTATTTTGCTTCATTTACTAAAACTGTGCAGTAAGCCAAGTAAACAGTGTAGGCACCCACTTGTAGTTTTTTTAGCGCCAGAAAACGGCGTTAAACAGTTGCCATCTCTATCGGCAAACACCTTTATTATGCCTGGGTCCATGGTCTGCGACTTACTGGCAAGTATATTCCCTTAAGGGAGGGCATTCTGCGCGAGAGTCACATGACACCACAACCATTGGCGCAGACGAGGACCCGTGGCAATGGTTGCACCTCGGGTCAAAATCCAACAACATTGGGAGGCCTAGCGGGTAGCCGTACCTGTTCTCAGCCCCGGCCTGAGCAACCCGAAACAATCCCATTGCATTCTGATGTTGGCCAAATCAACTCATCCAGCTCCCGCGAGGACAGTCAGGACACGCTTGAGGATCGTTCCGTTCGTGGCAAATTGGCTGTGCCAACAAATACCTACCCTGTCGACGTCTCCAAAAATAGTCCTGGGGCAGTTAGAAGCTCTCCACTGAAAAAAGTCAGTCGCAGTCCGTCGGCCGGTTACACGGCTAAGCCAGTTGTATTCTTGGAATATGGAAATCTCTAGTTGACCCTATCGTCAGCATTGTCCCTCCTTCATATCAAACCACCTGAATTCTATTCCCAAGAATTTGTTACTTCTTCCTATTCCGATTTACCTTTTCTTCCCTCTCCCTAGTTTTTTTTATTGTTCGCCAAATTGATGCCAGCTCTGCACGTGTCCTATGTTAAAAAAGCATTGTGAAACTGCGAAGCATCAAGATCTTGCATTTATGTCCTTTGTATTCGCTCGTATACCAAACTTTGAAGGATGCTTTTTTCTGCGATGAGATCAGCCCTAATCGCTTTTCAGTCTCTGACTTCTTTTTCTATCTGAATTAGCCACCTCCTATGGTGCTTCACTGCTGATTATGCCAGTATGGATTCTCCTGTACAGTTTTGCACATTTGACAAAGCAGCACATGAAAATGACTTTTTGATTGTCACTGACGTTTAAAATGGGAGGTCTGTTGACTACCTAGCGCAAGCAGAGAGGGACACGGTAGTATTTTGCCTTTGAGAGCTGCTCATTATCGATCCGCCAGGTACCGGCGGTACCTGTTGCCATGTCGTAACCCTAACCCTTAGACTAACCATAACCCTCTCAACCCTAACCCGAACCCTGTCTAAAATTTAATGCAAGTCCTTTGGTAATACGGGAGGGGACGTTCATATTCCAGTGCCTAACCCGTTACTTTGCAGAAAACCAATCGCTTGTATTTTTTTTCCCAGAAAGAAAGTGTTTGTCTGTCGAAGCGTTTTGGGGCTGCGTTATATTCTAACCATTATTCATGCCTCAATTAAATATTCATCTATAATCGAGGTCACATTATAAATTACAGTCAGGCTGTCATTAGTTCTTCCACCCACGCTAAATTTAAGAAAGTCAGCATTTTACTGCTAAAACAAAAATACATTATTCTGAACCGGATGATTCTAAGCACTGTCAAGTCATATCGTGTACATTACCAATACTCGGATTATTTACGTTCCAGTGATGGCGACGAGTGCATCATTTACCCAATAGGGTGAGAGCATATTGAGAAGTAGCACGTTACTAAGGTCGAAGGATTTTTTAGTGACAAGGAGGAAGACTCGTCGAGCACCGGAACAACGTACATATGGGACAGCGCCATGCACTTCTCTAGGAAGTGGAAAGTCCGTTAAAATAAATGTTACTGGTGCTGGACCAGTAAACTTTATCTCAATCGAAAATGGTTATGGTCTAAGCTTTTCAATTCTAACGAGTTTTCGTTAACGGATATGAGAGGAGGAAGTCAAAATTTAGCTATTGGGAGTAATCAGCAGTCTGTGCTGGGTGCCTGGGGTTGACCGTTCTCTGTCACACACGAAGGTGGGAAATCAATAAATCTATCAACTAAACCGGTACCAGTAACTAAGGCCAAAATAAAATCAAAGGTCGGATAGAAACGATTGTATCGTCTTCTCAGAGATTGTCTTAATTTGAACACTGACCTTTGCAGCTGCGAAATTGAGCATGTTACCCATTTTAGGATTTGCCGAGTCGCATAGAGTAAATGGTCTTCATCAGGAAGTCAGTTTAGGTTCATACTTTCTGTTGGATCAATAAATGGGAAAAATAAAACACGTTGTATTTTTATTGGGTTGTACTCGGTGGAATGAGAGCTTCTCTACTCCGACGTTTCAGCTTTCTGCTGGAAACCATCATCACCGACGGAAATATTTATAGGTGCTTATAGATACGGTGTTTGGAAGATGTACTTGCGATGCAACACAAGCCGGTTAAAATTACCAGCGTATGCATTCCTTGCACAATTTCCTGAATGAAATGATTTACCTTGTAGGCTAGTTCCAAGTATCAAGACACAGAATCTTCATCCCGAACATGCATTAGTTTAATATTCAACTAGCGATTTCGCCCCTGTATACCGCTCTTTTGATCGGTGCTACTCTTCTACGCCTAACTTCTCCACGAAGGAACGGATGCTAAAAGTTAAGCAACGTCAAGAGTCATATGGCTGTTGTCTCCTTTGGGGAGTTTTCCCTGGCCGAACTTGTAGAGCTGGACGTTGACTAAGTATGGGCGACATACTTGCACATTACTGATACGTATGTTGCCGTCTACGTCCACAGTAATCTTCATACCCCTCCGAACATGTTGACTTGCTCCTACGTACACCTAATGTGGCAAGAAAATCCAGAGGCCTCTTGACTTGGAAATGGAATTTTCAACCATAATAACCCATCTCCGACTAAGTTGAAAGTATTACACCTGCGTTTCATCACAAACGACAGGGCGTTTCAATGTGACCGCCTTTGTTTTGGACGATTCTGTGTGTCCACTGCTTCTAACTCTTTCTGTCTCTGGTACGGTGTTCAAGCATGAAACAGGAACATCGGACCAAAAAACTCTTGTCTCAGGGATCAATTTATTATCTGTTTACTCCTCTCATGGTTTGCCCTGATCCATGCCTAAATAGCGATCTCTGTGTCTTCTAATTTGAAGGTGTGACCCATCGTATGAGTAGTAACAGCAAATTTGACCGGCTGCCATCCGGTTTAAAATGCGCTTTATATTGGTCATGCATGTGAGACCCCAGTTTTTACCCAAGTCGATCTTTATGACTACGAGGGAAGTCAAGGGACGAGAATGCTAATAGCGATTTTTTATGCTATCTAACTCTCCTAAAGCGGATATCTAAAATGGCTTTGGGTCACTGTGCGATGCTAGCAACAGTCCTTTTCAACAGTATGTTGTCAATCGCGGAAGACGCTTGATATACGGCATAGTATGTCATCTTAGTACTTATAGCTCATTTACGGCTTCTGGGAACGAATTTTAGCTAAAATTGCTCATTTATAACCTGACCGTTAAGACGACAACCCCCGCAAACTTACTCTCCGTTAATCGTCGATGAATTCATTAAGCAGTTATACTTTTTCGCTCCTATCTCAGTTCGCATCTTCCCGAATCCATAAGGCACATAGGAAACAGGGAAACAGGAAATCATCTCTCATTTCAGTTTACAACTTTCAATCAACAAATACAGTTCTCAGGCAAATTTAGATTCAAGCTGCGTACATCCAGTAGCTGTCTCCCCGAAAAGTGGAACGTTATAATTAGCGTAAACAGGTCAACTGCTAATTGAATTGATTTATAAATGGCCTCCAATGCAATTTCAGGATCTGCACGGACCTCTTCGAGTCTGGAAACAGTTTGCTTTGGGGGATGGAAACAAATGTCTCGCATATCAGACAATCATTAATGATATCGCGTTGTGGATGGCGGATTGCATTTGCCAGCATCATTTTCAAAACAATAAGCTGCAGTAAAGGCAATGTTTAGTCTGACAAAGCTGCCATTTACTCAGCACTTACGACATTGAAGCTTTTTATTTTAGTGAAGACTGCCACCAGTAAAGGCAGGCACCTTTTGCGATGCAGTTGGGTTGGCTGGCGTTTTTTACTCGTGCATATTCCCTGAAGGCTATCGCACAGAAGTCTCTTGGGTTAACATCATTCTTAAAAGCAATGCCGATTTTTATGTGATTATACGCCAAATATAGAAGATGTAATCTGGATCTTAACCCTCAGAAATAACTAATGACTGTCTTGCTTCAGCAATAGCTAATTCGAGGACATGAGTTGCATTACCATACGATACTCGAATTTTGTGCATCAAGCTTTTCAAAAGCTATTTAAAATGAGCTTGATCAAGTCTTAATTACTGGTTTTCGGGGTTACTTGGTATACTATTCAAAGATGATCAGATCCTGTCCGCCTGTGATTCATTGTGATTCAGCAACCTTGACAACCAGGGAATTCACTAGACATCTGCAGGTTTCTTCGTTATTTGAGGATGGCTAAGTATTCCAAGACATATCTGGTTGGTCTATCTCTCAAAAACTAGCGAGGAAACTTTTATTAGCAGAATTTCGGACTATTATTTAGGCGTTTCGGTAGCAGGACCTACAAGGACAGCTTAAAGTTTTTTGCATCCGCTGAAAGTAAATTCTAACTAAACGCAGAATTGTACTTTTTATTTTTAAGTTATCCTGCATCTAGAAGACCGTCAGCAGCTGCTCTAGTGCAAAAGCGAAATTTCTAGATAAATTTTTTATCGTTTACTTCCTTCATGTCTGGGCGCACAGTCCCGAGGCAACATGTATTTTTCAGTTTCGAATAGGAATGTTAAGGAAAATAAGGGATCGTTCTAGACCGAGAAATAGATGAGTTTTTTGACGCAGTTTTGTAGATGCGTTACCGTACGAAATCTAAACCGAACTTCTGATATGTGTCTTCGGCTAGAAAAGATGACTTAAGTAGCATTTTAATACTAATCATCAGGTAGCATAATCACAGAATATTCCAGGCACGTCGAAATGCCGGCCGTTAAACGAATTTTTTTCCCGATCATTTGCAAAAACTACGCTCCGTAAAAACCGACTACTTAAATAGTACTAATTATTTCTATCGATTTTCGATATCCTTTTAAACTCAGATATACCTTATGGGAAATATGGGTCTACGTATACTTCCTCGTATTTCTTAGGCAGAAAATTACGCCATCTTTTATATTTATAATTGACGGAAGAGTATGTCATATTTTCAAAATGTTTCTAGTTATGAGATTTTTTAATACCGTGGAATGTCTACTCGTAAATCATCGTATCCGTACATTTATTAATGCTGCTTGCAAATTATATATCCTCCGCAATTTTTCGCAAGCTTATAATATGTCGTCTTAATAGGTTATATAAATATGTGATTTTCCTTGCAGGGAAGATTAACAGCTCTTAGTTTAGAAATCCCGAAAAAAGTGCAACGTCAGGTCAGGCTCAGAATTATTCAGGAATTGGGAAGGTTTTAAAATCGAAAGAGACCCTTTTCTTCAAGTATTAAATTTGATGGAGACGTAATTTTCTAATAAATAGGTGCAGTAAATAATATTGTTGTGCATGTTTTTAGGAAATTTGTTTGCATTTATAAGGGCATCACAAATCAACGTAAAAATGCATGCTGCTTAAGTAGTCTTTTATTTTAAAA